GCTAATGCTAATGCTAATGCTAATGCTAATGCTAATGCTAATGCTAATGCTAATGCTAATGCTAATGCTAATGCTAATGCTAATGCCAATGCTAATGCTAATGCTTATGCTAATGCTAATGCTAATGCTAATGCTAATGCTAATGCTAATGCTAATGCTAATGCTAATGCTAATGCTAATGCTAATGCTAATGCCAATACTAATACTAATGCTAATGCTAATGATTACGCTAATAATAATGCCAATGATCATGATAATAATAATAATGTGTATTTTTATAAAAGGAAAGTAATGATCATAAAAATGATAAGGATATTGATACTGGCACTCTTACAGATTGTGTTTAAAAATTATCAACATTATAATTATTAATTATAATAATAATAATGAGAAACAAAAAGCTTCCGTTAATCTCACTTTCAATGGACTTAAAATCCTTTGCACAACATTTTGGCTCGACTTTTTGCAGATCAATGCGAACCCTTGCAGTCCTCGCAAGTTTCCAAATTTATTGCGCCCATTGTGCGATTTTGTAATTGTGTGCGACAGCAATGCTTGCCCGGCGGAAGCGGAAGTTGCTACACATTGTTGTTGTTGTTGTTTGTTAGGTGCTCGTGTTTTTATTATTACAATATTTGCGGGCATTATTGCTGTTGCGCTTTTTATGATTATTTTGCATATCATAAAATTAAATGAACGAAAAATGTTTACGTTTCTTTTTTTTAATTTAATTATTTTTGTTTTCGTATTTCATTGGCCTTTTTGTTTATTTGTTTGTTTGCTTGGTTCAGGGTTATAAATATATTTTATTTTACATAATAAATAATATTTATATTTGGAACATGTATAAAAAGCAGAAATAAAATGTGTATTAAAAGTAAGTAAATATATATTTATATTTGTTGTAGATAGAGGCTTTCATTTGATAATTGAGTGCACTCTCAACTGAACACAATTACGAGCAGCTATTAATTTGCCTTCGATTGCTTGATTAGCTGGTGAACACATCTGGACACTGCTGCCCAGAGACAAAGAGAGCGAGAGAGGGAGCTGGAGATGCTTTGAACCTGAGCTTAGTTGCTTCGTGCACATACATAAATTATGTTAATGCCATCAAAACAGAAGAGTAACCAGCTATAAAGGCACTAAATGTTTAACTATAAAGGCGAACTGTTTGCTGCACACGGCAAAATGGACTACAGAGTGAGAGTGAGAGGGAGAGTGGGAGGGAGGGAGTGGAGGCAGGAGGCAGAGAGAGAGAGAGAGCAATGTGCCATCAACTTTTGATGGAAATGGCCATGGAGTGTGGTCAACAACAAAGGCGGGCCAATAAATGAGCCAACGGATGACTTTATGTGCACATTAAAAGCGACTAGCACATAAAACTTTCAAAGCAAATTAAGTGTAGCACACTTATGTGCGCCGATCTATCCAGTCCACTTGCCAGCTATCAGCCCACTCGATGCTTGTCTGTGTGAGCTCAGCTCTTAGCGCCAGCTGCTGAGCCTTCAATTTGGCTAGGTTTTTGAAAAGTTTAAGCTTTGCTTCTTATTCTTGTACTCTTAAAGCAACTTTTCGTGGCTGAGAGACTGTTAAAACGAATACGTCATATGGATACATATGTATATGTACATATATATACAAACAATTATGTTAAAAGTTCTCTTCATAGACCTTCTGAAAGTCTCTCATGCTTTGACTAAATGCCTCATTTTTATATTTATTTATATTTTCCACTTTCTCGAAAGCCTATTTTTTTCTTTTACTGTCTCAACATATTTCTCTCTTTCTTTTTCCTTCACTATATATCTCTGTCTCTCTATTCTCTCTCTCTCTATCTATCTCTCTCCCTCTCTCTCTCTTTCTCTCGCTTACTGCCGTCTCTATCTGTTTCATCCTCGGTTTCTCTATCACCTGCTTCTTTCTGTTCCCTCTCTCTCTCTCTTGTATGTCTTGCTCTCCTTTCTCTCCATTATATTTCTCTCATCTTTTACTCTCTTTCTATTTTTTCTTCTCGCTCTTTTGATCTATCTCTATTAATTTATATTGTTATTTGGTTGTATATTTAATTATCTGTTTGCCTATCTATTTTTCTATTAATGTATGTATATATTCTATAAATGTAAGTATATCTACATACATATATCCATATCCATCCAGCCTTTATATGTCTAACTGGACACATATCTAACTACCTGTCTGCCTATTTATCTATCTATCTATCTATCCTTATATATATATCATCTATCTACATATACCTATTCCTGTCTCTGCCTCTCTCTCTCCCTCTCTGTCTGTTCCCAATTCGAAATGTTCAATTTAATTTTGCATTCCACATTACGCTTTGTTAAATCGGGAATCTTCCTTTCCTCTTCCTTTTTGTGCTTGCTTCCATTGTTGGCTCAATTTAAGGCTTGAAATATTTTTGCTTTAATGCATTCAAATGGTTCGTCCCATATCTGCGTTTGGTCTTTGTCTCAGTTTCGTTGGTTTCTTTTTTCTTTCATTTTTCTTGTGCTTATTTTTGGCACAACTTTTTTCGCCAATACCTTCATCAATCATTACTTGTGTCACGCGCTGGGGACTTTGGGTCTGCATCCTCCTCGACTCCGGTTTGGCGGGTCGCGATTGCAGTGCCAGTGGATTAGACGGCGCCCTTTCCGGGTTAACAAATGAATTTCGCGCGATTGCCAGTGGCTGGCTTGGCCCTTCCTCTGCCCCCTGTCAATGGAAGACTTGAAAAGATTTTAACACATCGCACTTGGGGTTGGGGGCTTAAGTGAGTCGAGGTTTAGATTTTGGCGACAAAATCGAATGCTTCCCGACCAAAAAAATAGTCGAAATGCTGCGTAAAAGGGTAAACAATGACTGTTTTTCCACAACCACGTGCTCGACTTTCTGCTACTCCCACATTTTTCTCTTTTTTCTGTGCCGTCGAGCTGTGAAAACGCAGCGAAGCACAAAAATAATAACAAAACCCTAACAGCACAGACAGAGAGGCGGAGAGAGCGAGCGAGAGAGAGTGTGAGCCAAGCCCAACGCGACGAATGAGCAATGTTTTCCTTTGGCTTTTCCCTCTTTTTGATGATGTAATGAGCGTAATAATCAGAAAAACATGCGAAACGTTTCTGATTTAGCTGCCGCCGCTGCTGTTGTTGTCAAGACCAGATTGGATTGCACTTGATTGAAACGTCCAAAAAGCTGACTTCATAAATAACCAACTGACAAGCTGTGCGGGAATTTACAAGGATTTGCTTGCTTCTTTTTTGTTTTGAAATTGAAATTTTAAAGACGTTGCAGGCGAAACTCTAAATTATTTATTTACTTTATATATGTATGTAAAAACTCATTTTAAATCACAAAGCGGCTTATAGCCAGAGCAACATAAGCCTTGAGCACTACATTATATACATACATATATATATATATATATATATATATATATATATATATATATATATATATATATATATATATATATATATATATATATATATATATATATATATATATATATATATATATATATATATATATATATATATATATATAGCATAAATACTTAATGAGGAAGACTGTCATGTAGCGTCCCTTAAATAGATTATTATACATATATACATACTTAAATATGCAGATGTATGTATATACATAATTAATAAAGAGCTCACCTTGATCATCTTTATGCATTAAAGCTACTTTTACTTCAAATAAACTTAGTTAAAAATATATTTATTTGATACAAAATCAGTTGCAGACTTAAGAAAAAATAATTATGCTAGCTCTACTCGAGTGAGTGCCCGACTGAAAATACCCTGAGTCCATGACGATTTGCTATGCCCAACATTTAAGTTTATATGTAAATGCGGCTGGAAGCTAATAATATATACCATTTTATGCTAATATCAAATATGCTACACGCGTACAATATGAGATTCGAATTCCTGTCACCAAATAATATGTTGGGCATCGTAAGTAACAAATCTTCTACTTAAAACAAGTTAAGCTACTCTGGTCGTAGACCGTACTTTGGTAAATGAAAACGCCAAGCCAAAGGCCTAATCTGTATTCTTTGATATAAGACTTTTCGTGGAGGTGTTCAAATTCGGAAATATTTATAATTTGTGTATTCAGTACTGGAACTTAAAAGCCCTCGAAGCTTTATAGTCTTAGCCGTCTTGATAAGCATGTCTATAACGGCTCGAATTTGCTTATAGGGCCAACCACGCCTACCATCAATCGGTTGAGCATTTAAACAAGTAAGAAAGCTCTAGATGCTCGACTAGGAGATAACCTGATCCCAGTCCCTTCTGCGTTTTTTAATATTTTCCGTACTTGCGTAGTTTCCAAAAAAATAACAAATAAAAAACGGTATTACCACACTAAGAATCGAACCCACAATTTTTACGCAACGCGCTCGAACTCTACCAACTTCATAATTAAAAAAAAAAATAAAACAATAAAAAATGTTCCATCGCCACCAGGCTCGAATCCAGGGATTAACTGCTTACGAGCACTGCCTCTACCAACGCAGTCACTGCACTGCACTGCTTACGGCACAATTCAATCGCAATTTCGATTTTTCGAATAGAAAAGAATACTCGCATTTGAATGTATGTGTGCACACGCATAGGAAAAATGCGTGCGCGTGGCGCTGCTGACATGTGCTTTTGCTAATTGGCCAAACGTTTTGTTTAATAAATTCTGTTTTACTTAATGGATTTTAATAACATTTTCAGCATATGCTTTACATATTCTATTGGCTTGGTAGAGTTTCAAACTCCTTCATATATAGGCCCTATTTTCCACTGAACTTACAGGCAGAGTATCTATACTTTATGGGGTCTGCCACGACTCATTCTGCCTGTTACATATACTTGCACACAACCACTATACCTGTGGCTGATTTCAATAAAATCCTACGAACTAGTGCCTCTAGCTCTAGTTATATGAAATACATGCACAAATGCACAATAAGAGCAAAATTTATTTGAAAATGTCCGTATACATAAATCATTAAATTTTTGTTGCTGTTGGTTGGCAACACTTTGCTGTTTTATTTGGCATGGGTCTGAGCCTTCCTCAGCTGAGTGAGAATATTGGACAGTTCGTCACGCTTCTTCTTGGCCCGGGTGTGTGTGCCCAAGCGGCGCTTCAGGAACTTGAGGGCGCGTTTGTCCTTCGAGACCTTCAGCAACTCCATGGTTCGCTTCTCATAGGGAGCATGGCCAACAACCTCGCGAATCAAGTCGCGCGTGAATTTTGTTTGGCGAGTTTGAATGTTCTTCAAACGGGAGCCGCGCAAACCCTTGGCCTTTTTGTCTCCAGTGTACTTAACGTTCTTTAGTTTGGTCGTCTTGTGGCCTCGACGAAGACCAACGCACATCTCATAGCGAATTGCCATTGTTACCTTGCCTTTCAATTGAGATATTCGATTCGATTTCTAAATATGTTTGCAATTTCTTGTTAAACTCGGAAATCATGCAGGCAAGAGGTAACTCTCTAAAGACTGCTTAAATTTTTTAGCTGTGTCACACACACGATAATTATAATGACAATGACGTCGATAACAACATCGATACCATTACTAAATTATCGATACGTTACTCAAAGTTCTTGCAGCCCTGAATTGAGTTGATGAGTTTTTTAATTATGGCAAATGTGAATTCCAAGATAATTAATCAGTTTTATTTGATTAAGATTGTCGCAACTGTTTGCGAGAAATCAGCACAGAGTTGTATCTTCAAAGTTGCAACAAGCATAGATCGCCTACTTAAATCTTCCTTGAAAGCAGACCAAACTGTCAAAGCACTTGAAAAAGGCTACGTCATGCTCAACACATACACATACACACACACACTCTCTGCTACTAGCAATGTTGGTTCCTTTCTTCATCTGCCTTTCTCTGTTTACCTCTCCACCTTTATTCGCTCTATTCGGGCATTATATTCTCTATATAGTATCTTACTAAAAAATAAAACTTACTTAGAATGTTTGCACATCTTTCTCTTTAAGCTTTTCTAAAGTACTTCAACTTCACCAGTTTAATCCAGCAGCATAAATAATTTTTTTCCAATGTACATCCAAAATCTTAGTCAAGTTTTTATCGAGTGCTAGAAAATTGGCAAAGTTAAATTTTATAAAAGCAACAAAGTTCAGACAGTCATAAAAAATTGTTTATAATGTGCAACAGTTTATGGCCTAAACGTAACTAACGATTCGCTCTGGCCACTTGTGGGCCCAGGCGGGCTGCTGAGCACCGATAAATAAGAATAATGTGTGGAAACTGCAAAGAAGAAAAAAATGGCAACAGAGAGTGAGAGAGGGAGAGGGAGTAGGAGAGTAGAAGCTGGGACAGCCTCTTATAATGACCCTGGACGAGCAGTTTATGGTTAAACAGCAGACTTTCAGCTTCACATTCGAGGCTCGCAGCTACAAGAACAGGCGACACGATGTGTTGGCAACTGCCTGCTGGCTTCCAACTACTCCTCTCCAGGACACACAGCGGGATATTCCACGCTGGTTATGCAAAGTAATGCAAAATGGCAACGGCAACTGCAATTGGTATACCCCATTATCCCGACCAGGAGCCCTTTCCTATCATGCGCCCCCATCTTTGCCCGCTTCCACCTAGCCATGTTCATGTCCTTTGACGTTGTTGTCTTTCCAGCTGTGCTGCTTGCTATTATACACACATGTGTGTGTGTGTGTGTGTGTGAGAGTGTGTGTTTGACTGGATGTGTTCGTCTCTGCCATTGAGTTTTTTTCTTTTTATATTGGCTCGGCTTGATAACGCATATTTTTGGCTTATTTTGCAGCTTACTGCTGCGGCAGCAATTTTGTGGGCTACTACTATGCGCCTGTGTGTGTGTGTGTGTGTGTTGATACCCTGTATGGTTGCTGCAAGGAACGTATGGAGAGATGTCACATCTGTGTCTATACGCAGTATTCATATATACATATATAAATATATAAATATATATATATATATATAGATATATATATTAATATACTAAAATTTTTTAAACTAAACATCAAAAGTTTTTCCAGCTGCATTTGTCGGACTTTGGGCATAGTTCTGCAAGTCATGACGTTGTCTGTGCATTTATAAAACATACTTTCAATTAATTTTTGTGTAAGCAATATTTAATTATTTGAAAAAATAATGAATATTTAAATAATGATTAATTTTCTATAAAAACAAGAAAAAACAATTTTCTGTGTAGAAAATAAAAAATTTATTATTTTGTATATAAATTATTTACTCTCATTTATTAGTTGAATAATATACGTTCATATATTATTTTATACACAGCAAATGGTAGAATTTTTTAACCTTTTCAGAAACTGTATATTTTAGTAATTTTTTGGTAGTTACAAAATTTTTTTGAAACATTATCAAATGCTCTATCTAATCCTCTCTCTGTCTCTCTATCTTCTTCCTCTCCATATATTTTAAGAACAGTTTTAAATAATAGACGAGTCAATCTTAACTTGGAGACATTTGTCCTCTTTCACACTTGGCTTGCCCCTGTCTCTCTCTCTTACTCTGCTTCTCATTCTCTCTCTTAATCGGGGATCAGATTCGGATACAGCTGATAAAGCGTTCGTTAAGTAGTCTAATTTTTTTCATTAATAAACTGCGCTCAGAGATCACTCTAAATTCATCCTTGGCATTCGCTTTGCATTTCCAAAAGTTTTACTACAGATGTGAAATATTCTATGCCTAATCTTTACACAGGGTATCTGACAGTCAGTATGCCTCTTCTCACATTGTTCTGTGTGAGTTCATTTCATTTTTTTCGGCAGCTGCGGTTTGCCTTGCTCTGCGCTGCTCTGCTCGACTGACGGTGCCAGCCGCCTGCCGATAATCACGCCGTTGCCCATCAACCGGAAACGGGCGCGCCGCCATCTTGTTTCTGCGCCACTGTATGAGTGTAACTGATTGTGTCTGTGTGTGCGCCTCCATGTGTCGGGTATGGAAAATATGCGTGCGACTGCCATAAAGTGGCAGCTCTGTCGAAATTGCAGTCGCTGCGGTCCAAGTGCTCGGCTTGCCAATCTGCGACCCGGCTGCATGCCAAAGTGCACGACGTATATTGGATTTGCCAATCATAAACTGAAGCCAACTGCATAATCTATGCACTTCACATGCAGAAACAGCTACACACAGCCAGCCACCCACACATACACACACACGCACACAATTGAAACGCCAATGGAATATATTAAAGTTCTTTTGGCTTAAATGCAAAGTGGCGTTGCATGAAATTGAAAAGAGAAAATTTTCTAGCCTCGAATATGCAGGACGGCAGAAATTAGCTTGGCTACTAAAGCATGGCCAGGACAACAGCTGTGACGGCAATCGGGCGGGGCAACTAGAAGAAGAAGCCCATGTGGCAGATGTCTACGAATTGTGTATTTCAAACCTAAAGCCCAAAATGCAAAGGGCAATAAAATCGAATTGATTCCAGGAAATGTTGAATATATTCATTATTTATTGACTGAACGAGCTCATAAATTATAGATTGACAATGCACTTACTACTTTGCATACCTCAATGAAATTGGGTATCTCATGCAAATGTTATATGTTGCTCATGTTCAAGGAGATGTTGTTGCTTCGGCATGATTGACTGACTACTCGACTTTGTTGTAGATATCTTGCTTGCTATCTATCTGTCTGGCTCTGTGTTAAGAAAAATTAATCATGAAAATGAAATTTTTTTTGGTTTTTATTATGACTTTCAGCTTGTTATCTTTAAGATCTAGCTTCAGATATACCTTTTTTATGATCTCCTTGACTACTCTCTCTCTCTTTGTCGAACACTTACTCAAAGCTGGTTAAAGCAATTAGCAAGTTAGTTGAGTTAAAAAAAGAAGTTACTGAGTTTTTTTGTTTACTTTTGCTTTTGTTTATCTTTGTCTCTCTATCTCTCAATCACATTCTCTATCTCTCTCTCTGTCTCTCTCTCTGTCTTATATCTGATTATGAAAATAGAGTTATTGTTTATTATGTATTTTATTATGTATTTTATTATTTCTTTATCAAATGGTTTCTCTCTTTATGTATCTATCGTTCTTTCTGTCCCGATATGAATTTCCAATCCTTGCATATTCCTTTTCAATTTTTTCAAAATTATCAATTTTTTAATTGCATAACTAATATTATATTAATTATATATTATATATACAAAAATCGTTAACGTTCTTCTCGTGAAACTTACCTCGTTTCTTTCTCTCAAATACATTTGCAGTTGTTGATCTGCCTTTTCCAAGAGTGGGTTGTCTCTATATCTGTCTCTCTCCAGTTTCTTTTCAGTTTTCCTTACTCTTTTTTTAGCCATTGTATTGTCTTCACCTATCCCAGAAATAAAACATATTTAGCATGTTGGCAAAAGAGTTTTCTTAGTGGATCTGTTCAAGGTAGAACGACATCTCTCTTTATCTCAAGTTCTCTGTCTTTGTCTTCCTCTCTCTCTCTCTCGGTCTTTCTGTCTCTTTTCTAAAAGGAAAACTATTTTTAATATATGCATTTATACAACAAAACTGTTGACATTTATAGCCAGCCATATAGCCATATAGCCGCAACTTTATGCTTGAGCACATAATCATAAGTTCGTACTTATCCTTTCCTGAATGCCATATCCCGAATTCAAATTCAAATGCGAATCGTCTTAGCCAAAGTTTTTTTGTCAGCTTTTCTGCCTTTTTTTTTGGTTGCCGCATTGCATGTGGTGCGTGGTTGTGTGGTGCGCTGTGGCTTAAAACAACCGCCAATAATAACAATAACTATTTTTTAGATCTGCTTAACAGCCAATGTAGTTAAAAACCAAATGTTTTTCTCAATTGCCAAAGCTCCTTGTTGCTTTTGTTGCGCTGTGTGTGTGTGTGCCAAAGTGTGCGTGTGTTGGTGTGTGTGTGTGTGTTAGTGTTTTTGTTGCAAATGGGCCGCAGAGACAGCAGCGACGACGCTTGCCAAAAACAATTCCCACTGAATTTTTACAGTCGAAATAATTTTTAATTTACATAAATGGCGGCCTGCTCTATGTGTGTGTGTGTGTGTGTATGTGTGTGCTGGTGTGTGCTCGTGCAAGCCAGCCGGAAGCCGCTTTGAAGCGTTGCTGACTGTCTGCGTCTTGGCTTGGAGTGGCGCCTCCCTTTCCACTTTTCGTTAGCTTTGTCGCATTTGCGACGCATAATTTTCGGGCTTTGCATTGTTCGACGTTGCAATAGTCAGCAGAAAACAGCAGCGAGGGCTGTCACGACTAGCAGATACCCATTAGCGAGCACATATAGACATGCGGGAGTATGCTCCAGATAGGTAGCCATGATTCTCTGATATTTGAGTTTACATTTCTTAGGGAGGTCATGACTACAAGATACCCATTAGTTAGCATACATGACTCAGTTTAGTTTCACATTTCGATTGAGTGCCATTAACTATAATGACCAGCACGACTCGCACATACCCATTATATATTTTTCTTATATTCAACATAGTTGTCTGCCTCTCACTTTCCCTTTGATGCTTCCCCTTTTCTACAGGGTATCTCGCAGAAAATAAAGAAAGAAATATTAATACAAAAAAAGCGCCTACAAAAGGCAGGCAGTTCCATGACCGGATGTATTTCCCGTTTTGGTTGTCTTTGTCGCATGTCAAACGGTTGGACATTTATCGATTTCTCTTAGCCAGCCGAAATTATCGTCATCATCGCTCATACGCCGCGTTGTGCCGTGTCCTTTGCCATGGAAATTGTATGAAAATTGTCACTTAAATTCCTGACGAAATTGTTGCTGTCGCTTCCTTCTACTTTTGCAATTCCACTTCTCCTTATTCTTGTCCATGGCCATGGCATTGTTGTTGTCGTCATGATAAATGACCAGCAAACATTCTCGTTTTGTGTCTGTCGCTTGATGCCATGCATAACATTTACACTAACTGCCTGCCTGCTGCCTGCTGACTACTTGTCTGCCCAGCTCGCATCGCTTAATCCGCAAAATATACATAAATACGTACAATTTTTCTACAAGCTTGTAACTTTGTGCATTTATTTTGCGTCTGAACAACTTCTGCCCGACTCTGGAATTAATCATGCCACAATTATGCCGAGCACATAGTCCCCTGCACAACTTGTGAGCAATTTACGAGCTGTTGCAGCGTCTGCTTCAGCTTCAGCTTCAGCTTCAGCTTTAGCTCTCAGCTGCAGTTTAAAGTTCCATTTAAGACTTTGAAGTTACGGTTACAAGTCGATCTTGAAATGGATTTCAAATATATATTATTATAAATAATGATTGATTTACTTTGTTTAAAATAAGTCTCGTTAAGAAGATTGATTGACTCATAAACTAATTGAAATATCACTGAGAAAGTTCAGCTTGTATATGACTAATACTTTCCTAAATATTATATATATAGTATTTCATTCTAATTGACTAATGATTGACTGACTTAGAGATTCTCCAACTAATTGATTCACTGATTGACTGATACAATAATAGATTCTTCTATTTGTTAACTGATTGATTGATCAACTTGCTGATTGGTAAATTTATTGAGCAACTAACTGAGGAGCTTACCAAATAAGTTTGGCTGACTAATGCACGCACCGGGTGACTGATTGACTGATTCAGCGACAGACTGATTGGTTGACTGACTGATTAACTGAATAAATCAGTCATTATCAACAAACTAATTCTCGACAAACTAATACTCAGTCAAACTAACTGATTGGCTGACTGATTGATGTACTAAATGTAATGACTGATGCTACGAAATGGAGTTTCCAAGCAGAAGGAAATGTATAGAGAATAGCCACCAGCAAAACATCAAAAACAAACAAATATAAAATATAAAAAATAAAATAAAAATATGCAAATACATCGAGAAAGTATATATTTGAAACATTCAGGGAACTGGTACTTGAAGGATATTTGGGAGATGGTCAAAGCCGTGCTTTGTGCACTTGTAGTTGGCTATTAAACTGGCGAAATCGGCGGCGATGCGATGAGTGCGTTCTCTCACATAGACCGCATAGATAAAGCCGGAAACAAAGGCTTCCGTTGCGCCCAGACTGTCGACGAACCGTTTCGGCTTATAGGAGGTCGTGCGATAGTAGTTGCTATCATAATCCATAAAGCTGAAATTTTGCATATTCCAGAGGAACATAAAAAAGGGACGCTGCAGATTGATCCCAAATCGCATGTTCAACATATCGTCGATGTTCTCGCAGGACGCTCTCGCCGACTTCCAACCCATTTCCTTAGCCAGCGACCTGTAGAAAAAGACGTACTGACAGTAATCGACCAGGGGCCAATTTTTAGTCAACTCCGTGTCAAAGTCCATTGAGATGACAATTTTATCACTATGCGTTTGGTTGTAGGCGTCGACAACTTTCATCATTTCAATGGTTATATCTGCTCTGCAGCCACGAAAGTGTATCCAACCATATGTGCTCAGATCAAGCTTCTGAAAATCCTCCAAAGTGGGATAGGGAAACGATTTCTTGCAATTGAGAACTTGGCTAACGTGTGTCTTCCGGTTGACGATCACTGATGACAATGGTGGCGGCTCGTTGCATTTGGGACAGTTATCCCACTTGATGCCGCGCATATGCATATCGTTCTGTATAAAGCTGATCATGGGGGATGCGCTCAGTACTCCAAAGAATTCGACATCGGCGCCAAAGTTTCGAAGGACAGTGCAATTATTGCCAGCATTGCCTCCACGCTGCCAATTGCCCATGGTGCTAGTTTGTACCTCATTCGGTTTGGGAAACCGCTTAACAATCGATATGCAATCGATATTCAAGTAGCCCACGCACAAAATTGTCTTCTTGCCCATGGCCATACTGAGCACTGCTCTTGAATCCTCCATCTTGCAATGCCAATAAGAAACGATATTCTGTGAATATATTTAATAGCACTAATAATTTTGTCAGAATAAATAAAACAAGTTGAAATGACAAGCTGCCATATTTATGTAAATGCTGTGTTTTATTATGAGCTCATTGATCATCATTGGTTGCATGGGAATGCCCTACATGTGCTTATCCATGGGGTAATAGTCTCCACTGGGGACATTCACAAAGGAACTTTGTTACGAAATACATGAAATTCGACGAATGTATAATATATATAAATATATAAATACTCTGTAGGCAGCTGGAATATAGGATAAGTTCACTAAGAAGATTCCTAAATTAGTATCGAAGTCGGGAGGGAAATGCATTTAAGATTAACTTTATCCACTGCCTTCCCAAGATACGCTCAGGGACAGTGCGCTCAGAATGCTCTTATTGATAATAGCTATTGTTAAGTAGGCTTACATAATTTTGCAGGCATTCAACACTTTCAAAAAATCTGCGCAAGATGCGCTTAATTTTTACTTGCAACGCCCCAATATTTTGTTTATTTATATCCATGATCGAATAACAAGTGAATTGCAGACTAAAACAACACTGAACACTCTGGTTACACTCTACAAACTGCCACAGTCCTCAATTACCACTTTCTTTGTTGTGGAGCCAGAATTGGAGCCCATCGACTCAACCTTACGAATGACGTCCATGCCCTCGACAACTTTACCGAAGACAACATGTTTGTTGTCCAGCCAGGTGGTTTTCTCGGTACAAATGAAGAACTGGGAGCCATTTGTGTTGGGTCCTGCATTGGCCATTGACAAGGTGCCTGGACCAGAGTGTTTCAGCTCAAAGTTTTCATCAGGGAACTTGTGGCCATAGATGGAGCGTCCTCCAGTGCCATTCTGATTGGTAAAGTCTCCACCTTGACACATAAAATTTGGTATAACACGATGAAACGGAGAGCCCTTATACCCGTAGCCCTTCTCCCCGGTGCACAAAGCTCGAAAGTTTTCAGCTGTTTTTGGAACTACATCCGAGCGTAGCTCCATGACGATGCGACCAAGCTTCTCCCCGCCGGCATTAATGTCGAAGAAAACTCGCGGTAGCGACATTTTGGCTTGGTTGCAAAAGGAGCGAAACAAAGCCAGCTCTTAAGTAGGTTAAAAATAAAATATATAAATGCTATTATAGATACAAGTGAAATATTCTTTTTACCGATTTCTAAGCTATAACAAATAAATATGAAATACTTTCAGATCCGTTCTGTTCTATAGCCTGAGCAGGAATACTGAGTCGACAAAACAACTCAATCTGTAGTGAAATAGACAAGTGTCAAGGCCCACTAGAAACTATGAAACAGTAGTTTTCTCCAATACATATGCCACCTATCAAAAGTCATTTGGTCAATAGAGCCGATATATTCGATATCAAATAAGGAAAGTTAGAAGTCAAAGAGATTGTTGAATGTTAATTTGTTGATACCCTGATTCCATTGAAAATGGGAAATCAGGTCTCAGCTTCTATAAGAGCTAGAGACTTGAAATATTTTTGTGAGTCCGTGTATAGCACGTACATATCGAGTTTGCTTCAAATATTTGATAACTATTCGCATTTAATTGTTATCGAATAAAAACATGATTGAAATGCAGTTAATAAATTATATCTCGGACGTCTTGAGAGCAAGAGCCTCCAAATTTTGTATTTAGTTTTATGTATATTTAATGCAATTTTGATTTTTCCCCAAATTCTTAAAATTTGAGTTCAGTTGGAAATAGGGCCATAATGTGAGGGCGTTTGCATCTCAACCAAGCCAATAGGATATGCAGATCACACATACATTCAAATGCGTATATTTTTCTATTCGAAGAATCGAAATTGCGATTGAATTGTGCTGAATTATTAGTTGCTACTCAACTTCAAACTTGCAACTCCTCTTGCAAGATGTGAAGTGGCAAGCAAGTGGTAAGCAGCTAGTCGCAGGGTTCGAGACCGGTGGAGATGGAATATTTTTTATGGTTTTATTTTTTTTAAATTATGAAGTGGCGGTGTTGGTAGAGTTGGTACGCGTTGCGTAAAAATAGTGGGTTGGAATCCTGGTGTCGTACTGTCAATTTTTATTTTTTTTTTGAATACTCGATACAAACTACGGAAAATATTAAAAAACTCAGATAGAACTGGGATCTCCTAGTCAGGCACTCCGACTAAAGTTTCTTACTTGTTATATTATACTCCTATTACTAACGATTTCAGTTGTTCTTAGAATTGCAATGCTCGAATACATTAATTTTTCAGTTGTCAATGTCTCAGCTACTTTGCTTAAAAGCTCGTTTGCATAACCCTTAAATGAAGAAGCTGAAATATTGACAGCTGTAAAACAAACAAACGGAACGCTTTGCAATCCATATTTAAGGTATGGGCTCCAAAGTATTTCCATTATCTTCATTTATTTTGAAGCTTGTTATTGCGGGCAAGTGAAATCGTCAGATTCATCTCCTTCTGAGTATAGTTCCGAGCTCTTATCGTCATTACTTATGGTCACAGGATAGTGCTGAAACTGGGCTATATGATTGTAGCCACTTCTAGTTGTCTTAAAAACCGCCACGCGGTTGCCAAAAGTTACGGCTGCAGCCAAAGGCATTTGTCGCAAATACAACGCATAGATGACGCCTGCTGTAAAGCATTCTCCGACTCCATAAGTATCGATAGGCTTTCTGCCTGCAGGAAGTGGCAGATCAAAGTATTGGCCGTGAGCATCCAGGCAGCCAGCACCGTATGGACCCCAGGAGCAAATAATGGACGGTCTGCGCATTAGAATCGAGCGTGGCAGAGGCAGAGTCTTATCCAATTCTATGCATGTCTCTCTCACTGACTGCCAGCCCAGATCCAGTGCCAGTTGCCTTGAAAATATCAAATAGTGGCACATATCAAAGAGATCCTTGTTCTCATTGAAGCACCCGTCCACCTTCAGTGATATTTTGATGTGATCTGTGCGGCCACTGTTGTAGTTATGTATGGCCCGCATCATAGGAATAATGTCCAGCTTATTGCGTGCCTCGAAGTGCACCCAGCCATAACGGTTTAGATCAAGCTTTTTGAACTCCTCTATGCCGATGTATGGAAATTTTCTGCTGCATTCTAAAATTGAACGGCAGCCAGTCTTACGATCTATCACAACTGTAGTAAAAGCTGGATTTTTATCAGTTCTGGGGCAATTGCTCAAGTCAATGTTGATGCGCTCCATCTCCTGCAGAATCTCTCGCAGCATGCTGGATCGACTCAGCACGCCGAGGAACTCTACCTGAGCGCCCAGCAAACGCAGCACGTAGCTCACATTGCTTGCGTGGCCTCCGCGCTGCCAACGAGCATCCACGGATAAATGATCTCGTTTATCCGCGGGCATTGAATTACATTGTTCTACGATGTCTACGGACATGCTGCCAACGCATAACATCGGCTTGGTTATGCTGAGCCCGTAATCCGTATACATAGTTTTCAATAAGGAAGAAATCGGTTCTTATTTTAAAATATATTTTTTGACATATATTTAACAAAATATTAATATAATATGTGTTGTCAGGGAGTAAACTTAAGTAAGCTTATGGCGCTCTTCACTATCTAGTATTAAAACATATTTATTAACTATAGCGAAAAGTTTCATTCATGAATTTATTTGATTTATCTTAATATCGGTATCCCACATTATGCTCCGATTACTAACTGATATTCCTGCTCGTGTATATTTCCTTATAATATAGTTATTCCGTAGGAATGCAAGAGGTCCACTTTGAAGGCGAATGCAGGATAACTCCTTTTTCTACGAGGAAAAGCAGACCAAGAAAGTGAAGTTTTTTAGTCCGACATATCAGTCAAAGTGACGATTGTTTTTACCCACACCAACTACAAACAAGTAAGAAAGCTCTAGTCGGTATGCCCGACTAGGAGATACCCTGATCCCAGTCCTATCTGCGTTTATTAATATTTTCCGTAGTTTGTATCAAGCATTCAAAAAGATAAGAAAAAAAATAAAAAACGACATTACGAGACCAGGATTCGAAACAGGATTGTTTGCGCAACGTGCACCAACTCTACCAACACCGCCTTCACTTCATAATTTAAAAAAAAGTAAAACAATACAACATATTTCGACTCCACCGCAGCCACTGCACTGCTTACTCGAGCAGTTGCGAATGTGAAGTTGAGTAGCAGCTAATAATTCAGTACAATTCAATCGCAATTTCGATTCTTCGAATAGAAAAATATACGCATTTGAATGTATGTGTGATCTACATATCCTATTGGCTTGGTTGAGATGCAAACGCCCTCACATTATGGCCCTTTTTCAAGCTGAACTCAAATTTTAAGAATTTGAGGAAAAATCAAAATTGCATCAAATATACATAAAACTAAATACAACATTTGGAGGCTCTTGCTCTCAAGACGTCCGAGATATAATTTATTAACTGCATTTCAATCATGTTTTTATTCGATAGCAATTAAATGCGAATAGTTATCAAATATTTGAAACGAACTTGACCTGCGCGTGCTCCGTCCGTCCACCCCTCCGTCAATACGTCCGCCCATCCATCCGTCCGTCCCTCTGTCCGTCCGTACATCAGTCCGTCCGTATGTTCTTTCGTACGTCAATCCGTCTGTCCAACCATCCGCCTGTCCATGTGATTGGGTATCCGTTCAGCTGTTAGTCTGCCCGCCCTTCCACCCGTCCGTCCGCCGGTCCGCATATTCGTCCCCCGTCTGTCCGTTCGTCCGCCGCCTTATTTTTCTTAAGTCGAGTTTCTGTCCGTCCGTCAGCCGTATGTCCGTTCGTCCGCCACCTTTCTGTCCGTCCGTCCGTTCGTCCATTTGTCCAACTATTTGTCCATCTGTCTTTCCATCAACTTCCATTCTGTCCGTCCGTCTGTCCATCGTTCTGACCGTCAGCTTATCCGTTCGTTTGTCCGTCCGTCTGTCCATCAGTTCGTAAAATATTTGTTCCCGTACCATGCGCAGTTCGAGCTTATCTTTTTTTTTGATAACTCATCATTCATTTTATTTATTCATTTATAAATACACCTTCATGGATTTTAGTTAGTTAAGATCACACTTAATTTGGTGCTTTAAACCAATTTTATCTCGGTTATTTGTCAAAATTATGTCAAATTTTAATTAAAATCTTAACTTTAAAAATTTTACTTATTTTCTTGACAATGGATACAGACTGCGTTCTCAGCATAACCAAGCCCATGTTATGCGTTGGCAGCATGTCCGTAGACATCGTAGAACAATGTAATTCAATGCCCGCGGATAAACGAGATCATTTATCCGTGGATGCTCGTTGGCAGCGCGGAGGCCACGCAAGCAATGTGAGCTACGTGCTGCGTTTGCTGGGCGCTCAGGTAGAGTTCCTCGGCGTGCTGAGTCGATCCAGCATGCTGCGAGAGATTCTGCAGGAGATGGAGCGCATCAACATTGACTTGAGCAATTGCCCCAGAACTGATAAAAATCCAGCTTTTACTACAGTTGTGATAGATCGTAAGACTGGCTGCCGTTCAATTTTAGAATGCAGCAGAAAATTTCCATACATCGGCATAGAGGAGTTCAAAAAGCTTGATCTAAACCGTTATGGCTGGGTGCACTTCGAGGCACGCAATAAGCTGGACATTATTCCTATGATGCGGGCCATACATAACTACAACAGTGGACGCACAGACCGCATCAAAATATCATTGAAGGTGGATGGTTGCTTCAATGAGAACAAGGATCTCTTTGATATGTGCCACTATTTGATATTTTCAAGGCAACTGGCACTGGATCTGGGCTGGCAGTCAGTGAGAGAGACATGCATAGAATTGGATAAGACTCTGCCTCTGCCACGCTCGATTCTAATGCGCAGACCGTCCATTATTTGCTCCTGGGGTCCATACGGTGCTGGCTGCCTGGATGCTCACGGCCAATACTTTGATCTGCCACTTCCTGCAGGCAGAAAGCCCATCGATACTTATGGAGTCGGAGAATGCTTTACAGCAGGCGTCATCTATGCGTTGTATTTGCGACAAATGCCTTTGGCTGCAGCCGTAACTTTTGGCAACCGCGTGGCGGTTTTTAAGACAACTAGAAGTGGCTACAATCATATAGCCCAGTTTCAGCACTATCCTGTGACTGTATCGAATGACGATAAAAATTCTGACCATTACTCAGAGGACGACGAGTCCGAACAATTCATTTGCAAAAAGCACATGAATCGCCAAATTCAACCAAGCAATGGCATATTATCTACCCAATTATTGCAAAGGTTCGAAATGGCTAAAGATGAAGACATCGTGAGCTTAAAAAGTGCACTCTCTAAGAACTTGAGAGAGCAACAATCGTCTGTCGCCTTCGACCCTGCATACAATGTCACACAGAGTATGTCCAAGGTCCCACGTATAAGAAATTCATCCGTGCGATCCAAGAGAATGAGGAGTATTGTATCAATTTCGCCAATAAAATAAATCAAAAAAATAGCTAAGTGGGAGATAAAACAGTTTCAGTCTGTATAATAAATATATTATATAAATATATGTCTCGCTTTACAAGTCGCCACAGTCCTCGATAATGATTTTCTTAGATGTTTTGCCTGAGTTAGAGCCCATCGATTCTATCTTTCGTATTACTTCCATGCCCTCAATTACCTTGCCGAAGACGACGTGCTTATTGTCCAGCCACGAGGTCTTGCCCATGCATATAAAGAACTGGGAGCCATTTGTGTTGGGTCCTGCATTGGCCATTGACAAGGTGCCTGGACCGGAGTGTTTCAGCTCAAAGTTTTCATCAGGGAACTTGTGACCATAGATGGAGCGTCCTCCAGTGCCATTCTGATTGGTAAAGTCTCCGCCTTGACACATAAAATTTGGTATAACACGATGAAACGGGCAGCCCTTATAGCCGTAGCCCTTCTCCCCGGTGCACAAAGCTCGAAAGTTTTCAGCCGTCTTTGGAACTACATCCGTACGCAGTTCCATTGCAATGCGACCTAGCTTCTCTCCATCAGCGGTTACGTCGAAGAAGACACGAGGATAGGACATTCTTGACAAGCTGGAAAATCTTTGATAGTTAAGCCAAAACTCGAATGAAAAAATATAAAAAGCCTACACAATTCTTAAAAACCCTTAATAACAAAATTTATATTTCTTATTGTTTACGGAATATAACATGCTGACTCTTGGCATCAGGTTACCAAAACTCCAATGGAAAGTATTATTAAGTTTTATTCAGTATATACACTTTCTCACATTTAGGGAAAAGGTAGAAGGTACCCAAATTCAAACATACACCGAATCAATGTAGTCTTGCCACAGACCTACACACTTAATGTGAAGTTTCCAGATTATACGTAGTTCTAAGACTAAAATTAATTATCGATTTTAATCGACAATGAGGAAATAAGCTTGCTTATCGAAATATACAAATATGCCGAAATATATGTTTAATATATCAATTCTGTAGCTACTGTGGCTTACGAGATTACTGCGTTTACACGGACGGGCAGGCATGGCTATTTCACCTAAAATCGTCATCCTGTTTAATAATGTATATATTTTGTGGAGTCTGCCAAGCCGTGCTCTGCCCCTTACATACTTTTTCCAAGACCATTACACTCTCCATTTCCATTTGCCATGTCTTCAAGGGTATGGAAAAGTTTCTTCTGCTTATCGACTCAATACCTTTTGGCAGTCTTCCTTAAATTCAATAAATAAATTTCTAATTGAATTTTATTTGACTTTCTTTGACAGCATTTTAAAGAGCTTAAGAAAAATAATAAATAATGCGTAATGAAAATTTCGTCCCTTGTGACGACGCTCAAAGGTCAAAGCCATAAATTGGTGTAAAAAGTCGCAAAAATGGCAAATGGAAAATGGAAAATGGAAAATTGTTGTCTCGGCTTGCGATGCTGAGCGAAAAAAATGTCACATAACCTTAAACCGTTTAAACCGGCCATTCATTACGTATGCGCCACGTTGGCCAGCGATAATAATTACCTTGCCGTCCAGCCCCAACTGCTGTCATGGTAATAAATTATCAGCTATATATGTATGTTATACACATATATATATATATATATATATATATATATATATATATATATATATATATATATATATATATATATATATATATATATATATATATATATATATATATATATATATATATATATATATATATATATATATATATATATATATTGCAGATGGCTGCATCACCATTTTATAGTCGTGTTGAAAAGGGTTAACATTTGGACCATTTCTTTTTTCAATGCCTTTTTTCGTGGGCTTTTGGGCTATTTGAATTATGGCTAGATTATTTAAATAAATTGCAATATCAGCGTAGAGATTTTGGACACGCAATTGCTGCAGGCCAACTGATGTAGCTCGCCTCAGCTTTAGCTAGTGAACAGATTAAGGACTTAATGTCCTTGCAGTCACAAAAGTATGTAAAATAGTATCTACACAAAGCTTCCCGAAAGTAAATAATAAAGAGCTTTATATTTATACATATATATATATATATATATATGTACATATACATGAATACACTCAACCAAGAGAATGCGGAGATATTCGATTCGATGGTCTGATAGAGCGTAGGGAATATATGCCTCACTGCACACCAACTAACTATATATACAGTGAGATCAAACTCCGAAAACTGGGTAATAATAATTAATAATTAATAATAGGTTCATATTCTATGATCTATGATTTATGATCTATAATCTTTTGGCCTGAGACAGCAGTTCATAAGTTCCATTGGATAAAATAATATAAAATATCTTTTGTATCCAAGTTATAGAAAAAAAAATTATTTAAGCTTGGAAATCCCTGACAGTGAACTCAAATCTTAAACGAAATATAAATATATACATTATAAAGCTTGTACTCTTATATATACTTATATTGGCGCATAAATAAAATGAAATATTTGACGGACAGATTAAGAAGCACGCTTCATTTATTTGCATTCTCCATGAATGGCTCACATAATTTTCTATATTGAGAGGAAGGGGGCGTGGGAGGAGCTGGGCCAAGTGGACAATGCAGACCCCAAATGAAGGACATTCCTTATCATCTTATTTGCATTTGGCTGGCTGTGAAAAAATTTCAAATGCCTAAACGCCCTAAATGTGCAGAATTTTGATTTATGTAAGTGCCACATGCCCCCAACTGCCAACTTCCAGCTCCCAGCCCCTAGCTCCCAGCCCCCATACGCCTGCCGCATGCCTCCAGCCACACGCCACCTCACCCTCAAGTGTCCGCAATTAATTTTTATTTTCAACGCAGTTCATTTTAGTGGCAGCTCCAGGGGGTGGTTCCCGTCACGCTGCTGCCGGAGACAAGTGTGCCACAATAAACACACCTCCAAGCAAAAGCTTAAGATGAAAAGCAAGTTAGGCCTAAAGCGTGAGCGACTGTGGTATACCCTGCTTCAATGTAGACTGCCAGGCTGTTATAAAAGTAAAGGAATTTTCTTGTATGCATTATATATTCTTGATCAATATCTACAGATAATTTTGTGATTATTCTAACAATATTTAAAAACTGTAAATAACTTCTTCATAGAAATTACCATGGCTCAGACTTATATTATTTTATCATATTATTAGACTTATCAATTTTTAAAATATTTTTGATGCTGATCAAATTCTGTCTCTAACATCAGTAATATATGAATAAGACGTAAACAGTATTAGTAAAAATATGAGATTCTGCTATTTTATTCTATTTTATATATCTTTACTTAAAACTGTAAAATTTGTATAACATTTTTACTATTCAATTTTATATATTATTAAAAACTTGGTAAGTTTTTTATAACTAAAACGTAAAATATATATTTTCTTTTTTTAAATTGCTATGTTTATTTGCAATCTGTCTTATACTAGACAATAAACAAATTTGTTACCAATAATATAATAAAATATAAAATTGAAATAGGATAATTTTGATAGAACTAAAAACTCAGTCAGCATAATTATTCAAAAATAATTCAACAATGAAATATTTCCTCTTTATTCTGTGCTCCTCAATGCTTTATTCTTCTGCTATATAATTTCAGACTTGTTTTTTTGTGCCCCCTCTAGAAATTTATATAAGAAGTAAAATGTCATGATCTCAAAATTTTCATTAGATTTCATTGTCCGTTGCATATTGCACTGCCAGTCAAATATACCCTATTGCATCAGTAATGTCATTAGCATTGACTTCTGCCACTGCGCGCTTGAAGAGCAGAGCGGCGGAGGGCGTTTGGCTTCCTGCTCAACTGAATATGGTAAAAAAATCAACAATAGAAAAGATATAAAAAATTGTGAATAATTTTTGTAGTCGCTGATTTTACAGCTAAGAAATTGGAGTGTGTGTGTGTGCAGCGTGATGACCTCATTAATTTTCAATCTGAGCTGGATTACATGCCTGCTGCCCAGTTGTCCAGCTGACGGCCACGCCCACAGTCAGGCGCATGATGAATCTCTTCCCTGATTTCGTGCCGCATTCCTTGTGCCCCGCCCACCATTTGGCCCCTCTGCCGCTCTAATTTATGATGATAAATGAGTTTCAATCAAGCGGCAGAAGTGAAGCCAAAGTCGGCCAGTTTCCGTCGCGGCCGCAGCTCCTTGTGCCTTGCGCCTTGCGCCTTGACGATCCTGCAGGACCTGAAGCAGGAGCAGGAGCAGAAGCAGGAACAGGAACAGCATCAGTCCAGTGGAAATTGTATGTATAAATTATCCATAATTTGATTTGACTTGGCTTGTCCTGACGCAGATTCCAAGCGCCAGTGGCATGAGGTTTTTCATTTGAATATTTATGAATAATTTTTTTGTATTATTTTTTTGGGCAATATTTAACAATTTCTGTTTTTATTGTTTGCCCGAATATTTCTGCCTGCATTTTTCCAGTCAACAATTTTTCATGCAATTCAAAAATTGAGAAATCAAATTAAGCACTGGACACGCCCCTTTGCCCGGCGCCTGCCCGTACAAGCAAAAAGTTTTCTGTTTCAGCTTTGTAATTACTTGAGCAACTCTTATCTATTTATCTTCGGAGATTAAAAATGTGTTGCCTCTCCTTCTAATTATTCACATAGAATTAAACAAATGCCTTTGAAGCAGCATTTGATGAATTCATCATTTGAGACTCCGAGTTGAAGCTGTTCAAAATAACATTTTAGAAATATGCTTCTTCTCTTCAACTGTCAAGCGAATCTCTCCCCTTTAAAAGCCTGCCGTTAGCAGTCTTTCAGCCAAGCTTCAGTTACATTTCATGAAACAGCTGTATATTGGCATCTGTGTTGTCACCGCGAACAGTGTCGATTACCACTCAGTTGCGAAACACAAATTTAACTAGTATCTGTTGCCTCTGCTTGTCGATACTTACGATGGCTTAATACCCTCTGCGTGCAGAGTGCAAACAGGCATTGCTGACTTTTAGGTTGCTGATGATTTGCAATACTTTATACACAGACAATACAAAGAGAACAGTTTTAGCTGAGTTTGAATTTTGCCTTTCTATGCGATTCTCATAAATTCATTATATCTGAAATAGAGAATATGATGAACTCAGGAATAAGTCCAACCAAATGCTTGCAAATTGGGATACAATTTTAACATAATTAAATATTAAATATAGGATTAAATATTAAATATAAATATAGAAGATATGTAATATCTTACTTTATTGATAAAAAGAAAAATAATTCTCAATATTTTGTAAACTTTAACTTCACGATATAATTCAAACAAACTTTCTTGGCATTTATTTCATTAAATATATGTATGTTAGTTGTAAATTTTTTTGATACTCGTTTAGCCAATATGATTAAATAAAAAAATAAATTTATGTATGTATGGCGACATATGAAACTGTGTCTTTCTATGTAATTCTCACAAAATGATTTATTATACTGACAGCTAAAGAGTCGCTACATGAAGATAGAATAAAGTGAAACGAAAATTACATAATTTATATTATTTTATTTTATTACTTTATAAATTTTAATTAATAAATACATTTTTATTTCATCCCATTTATATACATCAAATGTCTGCTTACAGGGTATCTCTCACTCTCTACTGGAGCACATTTTTCTTATTTTTTATTTATTTATATATATTTTTTTGTGCGCTCGCGTTTCGTATTCAAGCCACTTCCGCTTCATTGGGCAATTACGCAAGCAGCGCTTTGATTATGCTGCAGCGCACAATTGTTTTGACATTTAATCAAAGCGAGCAACAAAGCGAATCCTGGCTGGAGCTCTCGCTCGCTGTACAGGATGCACCGTAAAATGGCAAAGCATAGAGCAGCGAGCAGCGAGCAGCGAGGTGGTCCCTGTGCCAATGCTGATAAGCTCGACTGGACACTTGGGGTAATTGAGTAACTTGGCTGTCCAGCCAGCACGAGGCACGAGGCAACAATGGGCCATACACTGACAGTTCAATGTCCGCGTAATGCAGCAGCAACGGAGGCAAGGCAGAGGAGGCAAAAGCATCTCTCAGCTCCGCCCTCACATCACATCTCGCATCTCTGGGGTTCCGACGAGTCCCGGCAGCGGCAGATCAAAGCGCGTTTTGGGTCGCTCATTGTTGTTGTTTACATAGCCCGCATGGATGCTGGGACAAAAGTGCTTTTATTTCTTTTATAATACGATATGTACCTTCAGTATCTTTTACTGCTGGCAAAGCAAACTAAGGACCTGAACAACAACAAGCCACATCCTTCGATAATGTCAAACAAAAAGGCAGCAATTTGAGTTTGAAGAGCGACCTTGTGCTCTGCCTTCAGCTTCCTGCTCCTGGCAGCCATAAAACTCAACTATGTATTTAGTTAGCAGGCTGTGCTTATGTGTAAGTGCGCATACACACACACACACACTTACATACACTACAGCTATATACAGTTATGCACACATACTGTATGTATCAACGGCTCAATGTATTTGCAACGTTTTCTTTTATGCTCGCACAAACTTTTCTCATTTTGTTGGCCTGGCTTCATTTTCTTGACATTTCATTTTCATTTCAATTTCTATAACACAAAAATTGACTTCCGTTTCCGTTTGACCCAGCTTGAGCTTTCATCCAAAAACTTTCATTCATATTTACCGAAAGTTTTTCATGTCCCACAGCCAGGTACCAGGGCGGACATAGCATGTAACGGTTGATAGTCTCTTACCTTTAAGATTTGTAATTACTTTTTCTGATATATGAGAATTCCAACTGTAAATTGTTTGGAAATGTAGGGAAATTATATATAAAAAAAATTTTTCATCTTAAATTGTGAAAAATATTTGATGCTTATGTTTGAATGTTTATATGTATGTATGCGCTTATGTTTATATGTATATATGTGTGTATGTTCGTTTCTTTTACTATATGCTAAAGTTGTTTAGTTTCAGCTGTCGTACTACACGATTCTCATAAGTTCAATGACTTTCTTCCTAGCCTGTAAGCTTGAATGTATATATCCTATGTGAATTTCAATCAAAGAATACAAATGATATAATGCAAATTGATATTCATATATAATATACACATTCAAGTTTGATTACATGTTGACTGCTAAAGGTCTGAGCAAGAGGAAATCGCAAATTAAAATAAAATATGTATATTTTAATCGCCTTTTATTCACGGGTTTTCTCTTTACAAGAACCTTTCGACTGAATTTCCTTATTTGTGTACACATATGCACGAGTATGTCTGATTTACATGTACATGCACGTAGCCACCCCGATATCGATTCGCTTACTTAATTAAAACGAACCTTGGGCATTCAAAAAGTCACCGCCTCTGCTCATCCTTAATTTACCTGCATGTGATGCCCCAAGAGTTAACCGAGCGAAAGCCCAACCCCAACCCCAACCCCCAGCAACCCAACATGACGAACTGGCGGCTGTTACAATCGTTTGCTCGGTTGCGGTCAATGTTGCGTATACGTAATTAATGCCTTGTGGCTCACGATAAACACGACTCCAACCTCGCAACTCCCGACTCTCAACTCTCAACTGCCACCTCCAGCCACTCCCACTCCCACTTCCACTCCCATTTGAACATGTTTGCTTTACCATTGCCTTTGGTCAAGATTTTATGCATCCAGTGAAGCATTGTGATGTTATTGTTGTATGCCGGCTTGTTTGCCTGTTTGTTTGTTTGTTTGTTTGTTTGTTTGTTTGCTTGTTTGCAGTTGGCTTACAGAGCCTGTAGATCTGGCATATCTATGGTTAGCATTCATTTGCCCAAGACAGCTCACTCTGACCCGCACCCCAATAACAACTTCTCGAATTCATCTAAGACATTCAGTTAATGTATGTATGTGCATGCTCTCGCAAAGTTTGTAACTTTAAACTGTTATCATTAGACATTTGTTTTGCTACCAGGCTGAAAAACTAATACCTGATATACATATTATTCACATGTAGCTATATAAGCGTGAGCTTCTGCATGTGTACACAAAACTTAACACGAAGCTAAGAGGTTGGAGTTAAGGTTACTTTTCAGTTTAACATGCACTGCAGGCTTACCCGCATGATAAACTTATCTAAACATATGCAACTATATGTATATATTTATAATCATGCTTGCCAAGAAGTAAATGAGATAGCTGCAAGTAACACATGAATTTTAACATTCATTGCAGGTTAACCCGCAGATAAACTAATGCGTATAATTAGCATCCATTCAATGCTGCAGTTTAATTTTAACATGCATTAAAGTTTTACCCGCATGAAGACATGTTATGCACAGGCTACTATACGAGCGTAAATGCAAGAAGTAAATGTGTGCGGAATATTTAATCAATAAGATGCAGCTATCCGCATAATAATCTTACACACAAAAAATCGATAGCGTGTTCCATGTAAATCTCAGTTAACATTTTTATTGTATTAAAACATATCTGCGTGTATTTCTGAATGCTTACACAATTCGAAGCCGAATCTGTCTATAAGTCTCAGATCAAATATTTAACATGCATGGCAAATTAATCCCCATGGTAAGCACATTTATTTTTGCAGTTACATATAGCTATATCTTCAATAGAAGTAAATTAGTTAGGGACGTTCCATCATAAAGTCACAGTTAAATTTTTAACATGCATTGCAAATTGACCCACATGCTTTAATCCTGCTGCATATTCGAAAAAAATCGTTAATTCTTGAGATAAGGTAACCCTAGGCAGCAACCCTTAATTCCAGACAAATATCTTCGTCACTTCTGTTTGTGTTTTGTGTTCTTTGGTTTTTTGTTCTGTTTGTGCTGGTAAATGATTGTCTACCCTAAGACCCTATCACTGCAGACAATTGCATATTATTGACATTTCAATTGTCTGTCATTATTGTGCGAACCTTTTGTTGCGCTTATTTAAATTACGAGTGACAGGCAGAGCGTAAGGCAGACAACGCATGCAATGGAAGGGAAAATTTGCATAATAATAGGAATTGCACACGCTTCAGGTATTAAACACTCCACTCGACCCATCCTCAACTCAATTTGCCCAATATGAAAATGAGCAAAGCGAAAACAAAAACACGAATAAAAGAAAGGAACAAAACGTAGAGAATCCAATTTTCACTTAATTTTCATCGCAGCGTTGCTTTCTTGGAATTCTAGCTCCATCCCTATCTATCTTAATATCCCTCCCTCTTTCTCTCTCCCTGTTGTCTCTGTTGTCCCTACGTATCCCATAGCTACCAACGCTGCAACACGATAAAAAAAAAGTAG